TCCGTGAACCTAGCTTTCAGCCTCTCCATGTACAGTCCTCTTCCGATGGATGTTATTCGATGACCATGTTGACCATGCCGCGCCGATAGCACCAGGGCGATGGACGAAGGCGAGGCCTAGGAAGGGAATGACCCGGGGCCGGGGAAGACTCGGCTGTGGTTGCCCACGCGGTGGGGAGTACGAGGGTTTACTGGTTCGGCTTCCATCGCCGAAAAATAACAGGAGATGTGGTTGAGTAGAGGAATGGTCTGGCCAACGATGAAGTAGGGTGGGGCAGTGCGGCCTGCGCGGCAGCACAGCCGGCCACGGTAGGCAGGAGCAGGCGGTCCCACCGGCGCTGGTTTGGGCGGCTGGAGCAACAACATCAGATATTGAAGAAGCAGCACAGCCGTTGGATTAACATCCAATGGTCACTACTACTAGAATCATTTGTGGACTAAGTTGACAACACCTTTCGTACACGTCAACCTAGTAGACCCACAAGTCAGCCTCCAAATCTGTCCCAAACAGCATACAGCCCGAAATTTCTAGCCAGATTCAAATTAATTAAAAATTAAACATACCTTAATTTAAAATCCAATAAAATTTTACCTGCACAAAATAATGAAATTTAAAATATCAAAATCCGAAAGAAAAAAGTAATTTGAAACTAACTGCCTGTTTGTTGTATTTTTTGCCCATTTCTTATTACTTATAGCCCATTTTCTGGGCAAGCCGAATGCATCCCTCCTCATCTTGAAAGATTCCGACCCAACAGGGCATAGAAAAGCAAGTAGGCCTCCGTTGGTTATTCTACAAAACATAAATAGCTGGGCTAGCCATTTTTAGAAAGAAAAAAACTCAGGCTGGTCATGTGGTAAATATATGAAATAAAAGTCTGGGCTAGACGGGCCACAGCTCCCGCACAACCCAGTTGATACCCTGCTCCGTCCCGAAACAAAAAAATACTGCACGAGCTGCTGGGTCCCGGGTGTCAGCCGCTCCTTGTGCAGTTATCTCGCTTATTGACTACGTTGATAGTGGCGTGCGATCCAGATGTCAGGAAACCGTCAGGAGGAACCATTTTTTTCTTGTAATAAAGGAGGCACTTGCTTGCCTACTGCCATGATCCTGGTGAGTCCCTACTGTCATCCTCACCATGTACAGTCATCTCCTTATTCCTCTCGGTTGTTGATCATGTTGACAACACCGGAGGGTGGCGCCACGGTGAGCGAACCAAGGCGGGGGACGATGGTGAGGCCTCGGACAGGAACCAACGGGAGCTGGGGAAGATGCGCAGAGTTTTAGGGTGTGATGTGGCCGCGATCCGTGCGCCGCAGCACAGCCAGCCGTGGGAGGTAGGAGCAGGCGGTCTCGTCGGCGCTGGTTTGGCTTTAGAGGCTGGAGGAAGAAGAGATTGAAGAAACACGACACACATTGAATGTTAATCCAACGGTCAAGGTTGGCACAATCGTTTGTTGACTAAGCCGACACCACGTAGCATACTTTTATTTCTCCATCTACTCATAAAAAATGAGTTGGTGATGATGGTGTGTCTGCCATCCTGCAATATAGACCGCCCGATCTATATCTGATGGATAGAAAGCAAACTATGACAATTTTGCAAAAAGATACCCGCACCCCTCTCCACATTTGCAAATATGGCCTTCGCTCATTCATATTTGTCTTCCACAAGATAAACAACTCATATAAATGCATCTTGATGTTCCATGCAACGTATGGGCCTCTTGCTAGTAGGAAGAGAAGAAAAACTGGGCTCGTTTATCAGATAACATTCCCGAAACTGCCCTCGTTTGATCCTGCTTCGCAACTAAAACTGCGAGGAAAATGCCTTCGTTTGCTGTCCTCCTCCCAGGGAACGTTCGCCACATAACATTCTCGGAAATCAAAGACTTGAGAAGGCATACAGAACAAGCTAGTGTACCAGTAAAGAGACATTGATGAGTTTTAGAAAAAAGAGAAACGTGCTCTTGTAGCTGGTTCGAATCCAAACCTAGACTATGACTATATATAGTGTTATGCTACTCTACAAGTAATGAAACTGACATATCCAACGTTCGCTTCTTCTCTTCTCTATTTACTCTGCCTAGCATCAGAAGGTCTGGCCACAGCAACCATGTCCTCTGGCGGCTCGTCCACCCGCTCTTTAGCAGGCAACAGCCAGATATGCGCCAAGTCGCCACCCGTACCATCGCCTGTGGGTCTCATCACACCCCCGTCGGCACGCTCACCACAGCCGGTTGCTCATCGCAACCCGATGCCGTTGGTGTGATGCCACTGCTGTAAATCACGCAGAGTCATACGTCGCGTCTCAACTACAATCATCAACCCTGACCGAGTCTTCTACAAATGCCTGAATCATGGGGTAATAATATGTTTAAGTTTTGTTCGCTTGCTTTCAGTTGCTGATTTTTAATAGTTTGGTTGATGATCTTCCAATTTGATTCGTGCAGAAAAGGAAAGATTCGTGCGATTTGTATTTCTGAGAAGTTGCTGATGTGGGGGAATGGAAGTACGCTGATTATTTGGTTAGCCGAGGAATCCTAATACCAGCGGGTTTGGGTGTTGGACAAGTAACTGAAGGAACGACAGAAGAGGAAGACGCAGAGCAGAAAGTTAAAGATGCAGTTCATCTGATCATGGCTAAGCAATAGCTGCTGAACGGCCTTGACAGCAATGAGGAGATGAAAGAGCTTGTGAAGATAATGGGCAAGATCGTTGTGCTCCATTGGATGATTGTCTCTTTATTTGCGGTGTATGTAGCACTCGTGATGTATTCAGTGGCTATGACATGAGCATTTTGCTGAAACTAGTAATGAATGAAACCTGTTTAGCAGGCTGGGCGTAGTGTTGTGAACATCCAGTGATTCTATTAACGGAAATCGAGGGTATCCCCTTTTGCTCATAAATAAATAAATAGCATAGGCCCTTTTGCTAATAAATAAATAAATTAGCAGAGGCCCTGTCGGTTCAGTTTTGTCCCCATTCGAAGACGTAGCGAAAATTGCAGTCCAATAGCAAGTTATGTCATCAAATACAAGTTTCACAGCCAAATATGAGTACAACTAAACAATAATGTCATCATGTTTTAGTCGTCATACAATTAGCAAACACAAATCAACATACATAATAAGTGATGTTTTCACAGCAAGAAAACTAAACAACAACTTCATCAAGTTTTAGTTGTCATAGCAAAAACAATTTCACATAGTAGATAAAAAGTTGTCTTCTCACAGGCAAATACGACAAAAACAATCTAATCATCATCCGCGTCAGCAGTGTCAACATTTTCGCCATGTGTAGCAGTCTGAATCATAATTCCCCCCAGTGCCATCTTCTTCTTCATCCTCAATATCCTCGAACGTTAGCGTCTTATTGATCAACTCTCGTACGTCCACAGCCTGATAGGGAATGTTTTCGCCAGCGTTATTGACGTGATGGTTCTCAAAGATACTACGAACATCTGTGGAATCTTCTACATCAAGAGCAGTGTAAGCATCATCTTGTTGCGCAACTTCATTAAACGAATTCCTCTGCTCAAACCTTTGCAATACTCTCCAGTCATCACTACATGCAAATGTGACTTCCAAGAAAAATATCTGTGTTGCTCGATTTGATAAAATAAAAGGCTTGTCGGTGTGGTACGCCGCCTTGACATTGATGGATTTAAAATAATTATCAGCTTTGGGTTTTGTGATCCTGAAAAACAGGTTGTACCAACGACAGCAGGACAAAACCACACATCGTTGAACCTCGAAACTGGAGATCTCTCACACCCCGTGGTGCACCAGTCCGAGAGCTACAACCGCATCGTGGTGGATGTCGCCGGCTCGTCCCAGGATGGACCATCATTGATCTGACGTCCACCGGCACCGTCAGGGTTCCGGGCTCGGACAAGGAAGAGTAGGGCCTGTGAGATGACGGCGCCTTAAATCCGGGAGCCGGCTCGTGTCCCATGTCCTACTCTACCTCGCTGGCGACCGGACCAACACTTGGAGAAGCGTAGCCAACCGCCGGACATGGACACGGCAGAGCCGGACGAGCTCCACTTAAAATTAGGTTTGTGTTGCATGTAATAGTATGGATTTGAGATTTCTAATTTGAGATACCCAGTTGTGAAAATGATTATTTGAGACATGACCAGTCATTATCCGCGGGGCTGTAGGTGCTCTTAGAATCTCTATCACGATGTCTTGCTCCACTGGAGAAGCTCATACGGCAATGCTTGAAGAACATAAATGGGTACATTGATCTGAAAACTGTTGTTAGTTTTGCTACTGGGAATCATGGCTTTCTCAGGAAATTTGAACGCAGCGATGATCATTGTCAGAAAAGATCGTACCCATGAAGTCATGCAGCTAGGTATATTTATTTATTCTCTTGGATGGACGTGTTTCCCAGACAAATAGTACTCCTATGCAGATTTTGTAAAAAAAAGGCTGTCATGTAAAAATAGCCCACAAGAAGATAAAATAAAATAACCCACAACAATGAAGGTATATATACGATTAATGTTGAACCATTAGAATAGTTATGCAGCTACAACGCACGTGTAATTAACAAATGAAAACAAAAAAAACTTGCAAGAGGTTTGAGTCAATGAAAAAATTGCTTTCCAAATATAATGTCAAATACTTAGAAAGAGGTCCTAGAAAATTTATTTGATTCAAAGGGTCTTCCATTTTTGCTGCACCCGGGCAGAACTTCACTAACTGATTGAACAAGTAACCAAGGGAATTATAAAATTTGAGCCGACTAAAATTCATCAGACATGATTTCAGTCTTCTTCATGAAACACCATCTTTTCAATCTTCAACAGGCACAACAAAGTCATGCGATTCTATCCGTAGTTGCACATGTGTTTCTGCGAAATAGGGGCACGGTATAGACAGCAGAATTGAATCATACACTACATTATCAAGCAAGAGTAGCATCCAAGTCATGAAACATGCAAGTAAGGTACAGTAGCAATACTGTTGCAGCGCTGCTAGCCTGCTATGTTAATCAGAATCATGCCTCCTCTTCTGCTTATCCTTGCGGTGGCGCTTCTCCCTGTCCTCCGAGTCGTGTCTACTCTCATACTTGTCTCGCTTCCTCTCTTTTCCCTCATAGTGCTTTTCACGCCTCCGCTCTTTTTCTCTGTCCCCTCTCCTCTCTTCGCCCCGCCTTTTTCCCCTCCTATCACCTTCAGAATCTTCCTGCTTCGTTGCAGGTGCAAAGTCAACCTGCTCAGGCTCCGTTCCAGGAGGGTCAGGACTAAGAGAGCTTGGTTCTTCCTCGTTGTGAGGAGCCCTGGAGTCATGGAGATAATATGTGCGTTAAATTAGATAAATTGACAATAAAATATTATACTAATATACAGTACCACATTCCAAGGGAATTAAAAAAACATAAATAAATTGTTCTGGTGTGAAAACCTACTTGTATAAACCTAATCCTTGCACTTGTGCTGCTTCAGCATGGCCGGCTCCCAAATCCTCTGCGGTAGATCCCCTCTTTATTAGCTCAGCGTATTCATGCTTATCTAAACGATTGCCCTTTGGTCGACTGCTACGCTTGGGAGCTAAGCCAAGTGCCTCGCGCATGGCCTGTTCCTCCTCCTCTTTCACTCTCCTAATTTCTTCCTTCATAGCGTCTTCTGAGTCAGATTGCTTATCCCTTGTATACCACAACAAGTCCTTCCCTGGCAGAGATAGCCAGAGTGTCAATATTATAAAGCAGACAATTTGCGCAGTCAATCACAAGACTAAAGAAATCCATGCAAGATGCATTGCCATTTCAGCCTACTTTAAGTGCAAGCCCATGAAGCCACATGCACAAGCCCAACCGTAAGACACAATCAGGAACTTGCTGCTATCAAAAGGCAGTTATGCCAATGCTAGTGTTCATATTTTACCACCGCAAGAGCATAATAAATGGTAAAAAAAACATGTTATTATGTAACTGGCACACCATACCTATGAACTAGAAGGTTGAACTGTGTAATTGCTCAACCTAATTGTATCCAGAATGTATCCAATCCATAGAGATGATCTAGCAGATAGCAGGTTTTTTTTCAGAGATACGAGTAGCACAGTAGGTATGCAGACTGACTTTTTTACATTATGCCAGATCCTATAATCTAGTTGATCATAGTGCACTAATAAACTTGCCTCACTAAAACATAATAGTGAAATTGTAAAAAGACATAATAACAACTCAGACAGTCAGCAATGATTTGATTAGCAACTTCAGGACATGAGTTGCTAGAGCAATGTGGATTCTTTGAGATTATTATAAGTTATAACTAATGTGCCCTTTGCTAGAAGAATACGTAGTTACACACACATCAAACAGGGAGCTCATCGCATATTAAGTAGTTCACAAGTGCAAACGGGGTTCAGCAGGAAATTATACCAAGAAACATGAGGTTTTGAATCAAATTCACAAAACTAGGAAAGGGCAGTGACATAAGAAATCCGTAGTGCAAGAAAGGGGAGGGGAGGGGGGGAGAGGCGCTTACCTTTCTGCCATCTACCAACAGGAGCCTTAACACTATGACCAAGGTAATTCTCCCGGTGCTTGTCAACCTTCACATCATCCCATTTGAATTCTGTGAGAATAAATAAGACAAGATACTAAGTATTGAGCTATCGATCTCCATTTTATGTCACAATATAATAACAAAGTTATAATGATAAGTATAATAGAAGGCTAGAAAATGGAAATATCAGTGACAATAAGTCAATAACTATTGATGGAATACACGTCTGAGTTGTGATCTGGACTTTTAGGTTCACATTTTGTACTTTGGGTTTTTAAGAAGAAAAAAACAGTTTTTTGTGATGCACTGCAGAATACTAGAGGCATGGCATTAAAACCTTATTTCAATCGTTCCATTTAAATAGGCAAGCAAGGTACAACTAGTTGACAATGCCAGGTTAGTTGTAAATCATAGTTATCCCCTAATATGTGAAGTAAAAACATAATAGCACTAGGCTATATACTGCTATAACTGTTCCAGAACACAGGCAGAAGCGCAGACGTAATTGTAACTAGAATCTAATTATTTTGGTAAATTATTCTTACTGTTGATTAGCAGGGACTTTGCCCATTCCAGTGATGCAACTAACATCTAAAAAGGATATAGAAATATAATGAACATAAGTCAATGTCTTCATTTTTGTGTTGTCCACCAGCTTGAAGAATAAACACTGGTGCATGTGCATATTGTATACCTCAACAGTTTTTGAAACCTGTACAAATTTATTTAAGGTCATAGGTTCGCTTAGATGGATGCTGATGCCAGAATAGTGAAATACTACTATGTGACATCATGTCTAATCCTGGAA